TTTGAACGTATCCATTAAATAAAACCGAATCTCGCATAGTCTTCGACTAAGTCCAAAGTAGTAGGAACGTGAACGTGTTTTATATATATACTCTGTAAGATAGAGAATTTCTTGTACACTAAGTACGATTGCCATTTAAAAAAACAGCTGTGTTAAGAGACTGAATTTGATTATTCCGGCACGACGTAGATGAATTAAGGTTAAAGCGAATTACACTTCAGTTTTTGTAATTTTTACATTTCTGATAATGTACGATTTACTCACTTATAAACTTTCTGCAAGTCCTAACAGTTTCGTCTAGATATTTGTATGTGTAAGTTTCTCAATAAATTCACTAAAGAAAAGATACGAGACAAATTTTGACAATTATTGTGCTTGCATAGAAAACGTCTCTTAGACTTCTACTAGCCTTGTTCGACGCCTGCAGACGTTTACTTTTAAGCTCAAAATTCCAGTTTTAGCAAAATTTGGTAGAGGATCTCGAACGTACAGTGCTTGCAATGAACTCAACTCGCCGGACGTATATATGCTTGAATCGATTCAAAATTTTATAGTGATCAAGAAGGTATATGCTGCATGGGGTTCCCCAAGCTTTCTTCTGGATGGTGCAAAGGTTTTAACAAAATGAATACATCTTGATTCTTCTATGATGGCTACAAAATCTGCTCTCAATCAAACTGTCTACCATGGCACTTTCGAACTCTGCAGTTTATTAAGCAAATCATATAAGAGAACCGAGTAATAGTTACGTTCAGTTAATATAGTCACGGGTTAACTACTATAAATAAAAGAATTTTCGTCTTGCAACACATCGAAAGGCTTGACGTAGATTCATATTTTATTGTACTGAAAGTGATTCGGTGAATCCCTGAATATGAATCAAAGCTTATCTCTCCGTCCGTCCATCTTATCTTATGTGGCATAATAGAAAGTTTGATTATTTCATAGATCAAAGCCGTTTTGCTACACACAATGGTAAATGCAGATTGACAAAATCATCCTACATTAATATAAGTAAATGAAAGTAAATGAAACAAATAAAAAAATCATATTCGGCTGTAATGAAATCTGTCACAACTACGTCTGAAAATCCTCATTAGCCAATGTAACAAACTAAGTGGCCTCCCACGTTAGACGCCACTTTTCTGTAAAAACTATTATGTCTACCTATATCTATCCAATTATTGTCTGCGGATCCTATTATTTTTAGGGCCATTCTTCAGTGCCACTTAAAGAGGATGGGAGGCTGTAGGGAGTGTCGTACGTGCCATAGCTGAGCTAGTTAGTTCGAGCGATATGGATGGGTTTTAAATTTTGTCTCACGGACATTTCGACAGACGTTTACACCTATAAGAAATGTACGTACTTTACCCTTATATGAATAAACGGACGGCCGACACCTACTTTACCGAACGGGCATAAAGCGTGTGGAGTTATATTTATATATAACTAGCAAAGGCACAAACCAATTTTTTTTGCAGAGCTATGTTAAACAAAGTCTCGGAGGGATTGAAGGCAAAATACAGTTAAAATAGAACTTTTCAAGAATTTTTTTATTGTTTTCATTGTTTTTATTTATTTATTTACTCTATTTATACAAGAAACTCAACTAAAACAAATTGACAGTTGAGTCCAATTGACTCTTAAAGTAAATCGTAAACTAATTAATATTAAAACTTAGTAGAAGTACAATAAAACAAATAAGAAGAAAAAAAAAAAGAAAAAAAAAAGCATGTACACAACTAGCATAGAGCCACACCCACAACCGGTACAAGACCAAATTGCAAATGAACCCCTAAGCCATCGCAAATATGCATAAGCTTGGCAACCGGTAATAGTTAACATCTACTAATTTTCGAATCAATGACTTTTTAAGGTTAAGAGCTAGTTTAAGTACGACGTAGGTAAATCACGCGTATTAAGCAATATTGCTTTAATGGACTTTAAAGAGTCCGGTAATGCGAATAAACGATATACGTCGTTTAGGTTTTCGCAAACAACTCTGAGTGGGTTAATGAACTCATAATTATATTTCCATTGACTAAGCTTAACTAAGATAAAGTGCCTAGAGAAGCGGTTGGGAACATTAAAGCTTATTTCGCCAAGTAATGCAGGCGAGTCAATAGCACCATTTATTTCTTTGATTACGAAGGAAACGCCAAGAACAAATCTACGTTTCTCGGGAGACGGTAAGCACAACAGGGGCAACCTACTTTTATAGGGGAGAAGAGAGGCAATCGGATCCCAACCCAAATTCCTAAGGGCAAAGGGCAAGAATTGCTTTTGAACAGATTCAATTGAATCTATTATCATTAATGAGATTATTAATGTATAAACTAAACAAAATGGGACCTAAGTGGCTGCCGTGAGGTACGCCAGACGTCACAGGGAATTCATCAGAGGTGATGAAGTTAAGCAAAACCCTGAGAGATCTATTGTGCCGATAAGAGCTTATCAATTTCAGTAAATAGAAAGGAAAACCAGAGGCTTGGAGTTTAAAGATAAGTAAGTTATGGTTAACCGAATCAAACGCTTTGCTTAAATCAGTGTATATTACATCTGTGCAAGAGCCACTAGAAAAAGCCTTGAACTCTAACAAGTTGGTGACTGTAGATCATCCTTTCCGAAAGCCATGCTGGTGTGGAAAAATATGCGAGTTAATTGCAAAGGCCAAATGCTCAGTCACAATTCGCTCGAAGAGCTTAGGCAAAACACTCAACTTGGCTATGCCCCTGTAGTTACAAAATAGTTTTACAAAATATTATAAACAAACTTTATGTAAATTAATTAATATTAGAAAGGACAACATTTTTGCGTTATGTCATAAATCAGGCTAATAAAGCGAAAGTTTGCGTAGCTACTGTGGCCAAACCATGCCTTCTGAAAAAATGAAACTAGTACGGCACGAATCCTTTATTAATAGTCTTTCCAATGACGTGCAGGATATATGAAGGGTTCACTTCGCCCTAGTTTCATTTTTTCACAGGATAGAGTTTGCCCACAGTGACCTTAATATTAGTTAGTTTACATAAAGTCATGGTTTGTTTATCACATTTTGTAAAAAAATTCTCCGAGCTTTCGTTTAACACAATTCTGTTAAGAGCTTAACAGAGCTTTGCAAAAAAAATGGTTCGTGTCATCGCTAGTTATATTTAAATATAACTTCGCACCCTTATCGGCATATCCTAAACCGCAGGCCATTCTTCACTGTGCCTTACCTAAGGCCTGCGTCGGCACATGACTTTTATGAGAGACCCCGAAGTTTGGTTTGAGGGCTTTTAAGGGACTTTCTTCCCACGAACAAACCCAAAACCTTAGTAGATTTTATACTTTTCTTGCTCCGACGCAAACTATTATGTGTATATAAGTACATATATATATATTTTTTTAAGCTAAATAATAATTTTCATACATGCAAAAGTAAACATATCTATTTGAAACAATGGAATAAAGTCTAGAATGTTTTGTGCCTGTAGAACTCGACAAGACAAATATACCCCAAAAACATTACAAAAAAAAAATAAAGTGGGATTAGTATAGATAATCGATGTATCCGACTTAGATTCAGCATCTCAACAAACTTTGGCAAAGCAATTGCAACTAGCTCCAACTTGTTGGCCCATTATTACCTGAACAACACATTTATAAAGTGGCACTAAAAGCCGTTCCACAATAGTTACCTTGACAGTATCGGCTATATCACGAGTCTCTGTCCGGCATCGTCTACTTTGTACTCTTTCCTTTGTAATTCCTCGTGAATAACTTCGCGTACAATTTCTTGTAAAATTTGTGTTTAAAAACCCCATACAATGTAGATATGTCTCGTTTTATACTTTACGGCATTTTGCGGTGGCTTCCCTAAAGCTGCACTTTCATGATTACCGTCGTCTTTTTGCATCTTTCTCACTTTCACATACGCTATCACACAATAAGCGATTTTAAAAAGTTTCTTAACACATTTTCAGTTTCTAAAAATGAATTTTTGTTTTCTTTTAGAGGATTCTTTTTTAGTGGCTTTTTTTTTTATTTATTCAGTATATTGGTTTTTACATATATACATCTTTTATTGTTTATTAAAAATCTTTACAACAACTTTTGTAATGTGTTTAATCTCCAAATGTGGCGTGCAATATTTTTGTACAGAGTCCAATTGACAATGATGACAACGAAAACTAATTTCGAAATTTTAAGCAAGTTTTCAATAGTCTTCATTAATTTATTTTTTTAGCATTATATATCAAATTTATAAAATTACAAATTTATTTTATTTAAACAGTAACTTATTATACATAACTTTGTTGCACATTTTTTTTTACACTTTAATTATCTGTATTTCCAAATTAATTTATATTTTATAATTATCTTTGACAATAATTTTGAAAAGTGCTTTTTCTTTCTTTTTTCTTCTTTCCTCTTTTAAGTTAATCACTACTTACAAATTCATCAAGTAACCACGCCATTGTTTCTCTGAAGTTGGTTGCAGATTTTTTTCTTTGTAAATGTCAATCTTCTCTATACGAATGAAAATAGCAAGCTCCCTTATTACAAGGTTATATCTGTAACAACTTCTACATGACACAACCACATGTTACAAATCTTTTATGCACATTATCCTTACCTAAAAAGGGAAGAGGTAAAAACAAGCGCAGAAATGAAATCTCGATACACTATTCATTTTGTACGTGTCCATGTTATACCTATTTTAGTTTATGAGTAATCAGCGAAAAAGCAAATTTTTTCGCTTTTGAAAATAGACTTGTTCTCAGTTTTCGTCGTATGGATAATGGACCACTTTGGTTCATTTTCAACATCAACCTGCAGACATTTCAACACATATTGAGAACACATGGCTTTGAATTTTTAATTAGTTTTCTAACAAACATAGATACCTTGAAAGAAAAGGAAAAAGCAAATGCATTTTATTTCTAAAGCCGAAGAAAGAAAGAATTGTCGATATTGAAATAATGAAGTTTGTGAAAAGAAAACTGATTATCCTGGCTATGACTGCTTTGGTGGGAATCTCTTTGATTATTTCAATTTGGTTATTGCGTATACAAGAGGAAGATTATGTGGTATTCAAGCGCTTTGTTTTGAAACAGCGACAATCGAGTTCGCGTAGGAATTTCATAGATAATCGGGGCGCAAAGTTCCACATTAAGCAACATGGCCAATATTGGATCTTATACAACTACCTAGTAGCAAAAAATTTTTATGTAGGCAATGAAAGTGTCTCTTTGTCGCTGCATGGTGAATATACCGACTTAGAAGCATTGACCGCTTTAGTCCGAAGGTGAATAAACGGATAAATCCAATATTAAAATTGAAAGAACTAAGAAGTATTTCTATTTAGATGGCACGGCCCTATTAGCCTTACTCTGTTCGTAAATGGCGATGATTTTCGTCGAGCCGAAAATATTATTTTATACATGACAAAATGTACGGTGTTTGGCAGTGAAATATTATCGTTTGTTACTTTCAATTTTATGATGCATGAAGATCATATATGGAGCAATATTCCAAAGTCCGAAAAAGATTTCATGTCACGAACTACTGATTGCATGAGCTCACCATTTATTTTATATAACGAAACTTACCGTCGTCTAAAGAAACTTATTTATCCCTCGAATATGGCCAGAAATATTGCCCGCCAAACTGTATCCACATATTATGTTTTATCACTTGATATAAACTATTTACCGAGTGCGAAATTTATTGAGAACTTTCTGAAAATGGTATACAATCTCGATTTAAATAATCCTTTCAATACGTAAGTGCTTTTACCTTTATGGAAATTAAAAAATATGGATTGACCCGTTCGCCTTTCTAGCGTCTATGCCTTGACAGTTTTCAATGCGCCTATGCCTAAGGTTGTTCTACCTGAGACTAAAGAAGAGTTATTGGAATATTACGAAAAAAATAAACTGTATTTAAGCGACGAGTCAAGAAGAATTCCATATATTGAAACTTGGCTAAAATCATCGAATGAACTAAAACCGTTCTCAATATTGCACATACGGAAACATGAACCCGCTTGGTTTCCCTGGTATGTTAGCGCCAACGAATATGAACCTTTTGCTGATGATAGACTTCATCACGAGTCCTTCATTGATCGTTCGTCTCATGTAAGACCAAATAATTTTTTACTTTAAAATCAAATTTATGTGCGTTAAGAAAACTGTTTTACAATATATTTTTCAGATTGATTTGCTGGAAGTCTTGGGTTACGATTTCGCTGTGACTGATAACGCATTCTTGTTGCATCTTCCCTCACTGAATATGAAATTAAATAACAGTACCTTCTTTCAGGACGAAAGAAATGTTACCAATTTTACCAATTTACGACACCATCGAAAATTACTAACATTAAGAAATTTTCTAATGAAGTTTACGTGAGAAAGGCTCTCCGCGAAAATTCTTTTTTTTGGTTTTTATATTCCCTATTTATCGATAATATTTCAACTCTTCCGTCAACTCTGACTATAAAC